AATCTGGGTTTGAGTCTACAACATTTACACATTTATGAGCCACAAAATACGCAATTAATGCCCGTTGAAATATTAGAGTTAAACTACATAGATCAACATTAATTAGCCCAAAAAAAGAATAAGATGAATACTTTTTGCATTAAAAAAAAACACAAAAACATTCGTCAAGATTAGTTGTTGCTTGTTACTTGAGTTGTTAATCAACAATTATTACTATTTTCGTTAAATGTTTTTTGAGTTAGGGTCAATGGTTAGATATATTACAAATAACTTAAAACTTTATTTAAATCCTTGTCACATGCAATCATTTGTGTACCAAATACAATAAATTAACTTATCGAATTTCTCGGAAAAAAACAAAAAGTATCGAAATTCTCATCAATGTAACCTTTAATTCCATGAGCTATGTATCTAGATAGACTCATAGCAGCAGCCATCAATACGTAATAACGTAACATCAAGCAAAAAGAAATTACATTATAAATATTTGATATAATAACATTGTTTTGGAATTTTTGTAGTGTCCGCGCATGCCAAGTTGAATAAATACGATCGATGTAAATAAAAGTCAAATATTAGCACAAATCACATTTTTTTGGAGTTAAAGAATCACATACTGGCCGGTTAAACACTCCGAATCATATATTAAAACAAAGATATACAAAAAATATTAATAATTCCTATTGGAATGCTCGGTTTGAATTACATGTAACGATAGAGTTTAAATTCTTGTTTAATTCAATTTGGCAATATATGCACCATAAGTCCATAACTAACCTTGTTTTCTTAAAAATACCAATAATAAAAATAGTGATAAACAAAAAGAAAAGACAAGGCCATATTAATTATATGATAATAATTGGAATTTTAACATGAACAGGGATAATTAGAACATGCTAGTTAGCTTCTTCTTTCTTGTTCTCTTCCTCTCATTGTTTTATCCCCTCACGACCAACACCATATATAATCCTAACTTGGGAATTCTTATTCTCCAAACATTTTCCAGTCAAATATTTCTCTAAGTGTCTCGTAAAAGAAAATGGCGAGATTCGGGTTAGTTCTTGTGATGACTCTTGTGATTCTAGGGTTTATGAGCTTTTCAGAAGCTCAACTGAAGATGGGGTTCTACGACAAAACTTGCCCTTATGCAGAGAAGATCGTGCAAAATGTTGTTAACCAACATATCCAGAATGTACCGTCTTTAGCTGCTGGCCTTATTAGGATGCATTTCCATGATTGCTTCGTTCGGGTACTCTTCAATTTTGTTTTTTTTATCACTTTTCATAAATTATAAATTCCATATAAGATTATAAATGTGTCGCATATTATTCAAATAGTATACTCAATATATAGATTATAGTATACGAAACCAAAACAATCAATCTCCGAGCTACAAATAAAAATATTTGTTTGTTGGTATCACCAAACTACTCTGAAGAAATTGTTCAATATATGAAAAACGTATATTTCATTGTATATACGTATGATATCTAAATATGCACGTATTTGGTTTTGGTAGGGTTGTGATGGTTCGATCTTGATCAACGCTACATCAAGGAACCAACAAGTCGAGAAGGTTGCTCCTCCGAATCTAACTGTTAGAGGTTTCGACTTCATCGATTTAGTGAAGTCTACTTTGGAATCAAAGTGTCCTGGAATCGTCTCTTGCGCAGATATCATCACTCTTGCTACTAGAGACTCTATTGTTGCAATTGTAAGTATGCTTGTACTAATTTATTACCTAAACTCGATATCAGAAAACAAACTGGTTTTGGTTAATTCTGGTTTAGGGTGGACCAACATGGAGTGTTCCAACAGGACGAAGAGACGGACGAATCTCGAATTTTACCGAGGCTAGGGACAATATTCCTCCTCCTTTCGGAAACTTCACGACTCTTATAACCCTTTTTGGAAACCAAGGACTTGATGTTAAAGATCTCGTCTTGTTATCCGGTAAGAGAGACGTTTAATCCGATTAAAACCTGATTTTTCTGGTATGATTGGTTCGGTTTAGTAACTATGGATAATATTGTTGTCTGGCTAAACCAAAATGTTCTGTTTGACGTATTGTTATGGTATTTTTTTTTCGTCTACAATTCACACATACAGAGTAGTGACACTATTACATACGAACCATTTGCTTGTGGTACTAAACATTGTCGTTTTAAACGTTTTAGGCGCACACACGATCGGAGTGTCTCATTGTTCCTCCTTCTCAAACCGTCTCTTCAACTTTACTGGTGTGGGAGACCAAGATCCGTCGCTCGATAGCGAATACGCAGCGAATCTTAAGACACGAAGATGTTTATCCATTGCCGACAATACTACGAAGGTTGAAATGGATCCTGGTAGTAGAAACACCTTCGATCTTAGCTACTTCAGGCTTGTCTTGAAACGACGTGGACTCTTTGAGTCTGATGCAGCGTTGACTATGAATTCTGAGGCGTTGACTCAGGTTAGACGCTTTGCCGAAGGATCGGAGCAAGATTTCTTTGCTGAGTTTGCTAAGTCCATGGAGAAAATGGGAAGGATCAGAGTTAAAACCGGGTCGGATGGGGAGATCCGAAGAACTTGTGCAGTGGTTAATTGAAAAATGTTTCTTCATCATTTTGTTTTTTTTCCAAACCTTTTATTTTTATTTTTCGTTATTTTCAGTGTTTTTTTGGTCGACTATTTTGAGTGTTTACAATTCGAAATCTGTCTCTGTATGTGGTTTGAATAACTTTCACGTTTGTGAAATCGCTTACTAAAATTTCCCGCGATCTTTTTCAATAAAATTTGTTTTTATTTTACTTTGGTAACTACTTTTCATAAAACTAGTTAGTAAAATCTATTTTCACCAACTACTTTTAATAAAACTAGTTAGTAAAATCTATTTTCACCAACCTAGTTGAAACTATGTAATGTCATATGAAAATATGTTTTTTTGGGGTAACTATTTTTAATTTTAATACTACGATGTAAAATATGGTAAAAGAAAAAAAATGAGCAAGTAAACCTCGCAAAC